GAAGAGTCCCAGCTAACTCATCCACCCGCTCATGGGTTTTAATTGATAAATTATGATTATATTAATTAATTGATTTATAAATTATGATTTTATTGATTATTTATTGATTAGTAAATTATGATCATATTGATTAGTTATTGATTGGTAAATTATGATTATATCAATTAATTAATTAATTAGTAAATTTACATTTTATTAACTAATTCATCGGTTAATTATTATGTATTTTATAACATACTGAATGATATGCAAGTAGCTTAACATAAAAAAGAACTTAATATGATGATTATTAATATGTATAAATATTGTCTTTAAATTTTATGTTTAATTTAATATTTTTTAAAGTTTAAATCTAATGCATTTTTTTAATCATATACTAATGTAGTATTATTTCTTAATTTTTTTTGCTGTGAATTGCATACTTGGAGTTTGTAGAAGTGACAAGGCTGTTGATGTTGCCACCCAAAGGCTTATAAGGAAAAATCAATCACAAGCAACTAAGTCTTCAAGTACCATTGTCAGGGAGACCCTGAGAGATATGTGGTAATGGCAATGACACTAACTCTAGTGCACCCTCGCCTCCTCAACCCAAAAGGGAGCGATGTATTGCAAAAACTTAAAAAATGCCAGAAGATCCTTCCTAAAAGTTGAGCGTTGGGAAATGGGATGGGAAAACGTTACCAAAACAAGTTTGAAAGGATATTTCAATCATCCTTAACTCAAATACGCGTGATGCATACACAAGGTGGGGCTCAATTTCTTATGAATAGAATGAAGTGTACTAACAGGTCTTTCGAGTTTGTAGTTTTATTGAATAATTTATAATGACATGTTTTTATTTATATATGTGCATTTTCTTATATAAATCAATTAATATATGAATATATAATACCTATATTTTTCTTTTCAGAATAGATACGAGTGGGACCCCACTGAGGAGGGTGCTGTATGACCAACAATAATTGATGCCCAACTTTTGTCCCAAGTTTCGGGTGAACCTTCGAAGGATAGGCAACTTTATAGAATGCCCATTTACATGGACCTTGCTGAGCAAGGGTTGTCACACCATAAGCATCCTCCACGTATCAAACCTAATAGTTTTGTTCAATCATCGCAACGTGTGATACAGTTGCAACAACTATTACAGAATTACAAGAGAATCAACTGACATTACAAGAGAAGTTTGACAAGATGGAGATGATGTTTTTTATTATATAGGGAGGAGGAGGGGTTGGGACAAACGGGGGAGCATAATTGGTTTGTCTTAAGTTGATCTTTGTATCAAAAACATCTTTTTCTATTATAAATGCATGGATATGTATGACAATCTGGACATGCATGACTAGGACATAGTACTTTAATTAGTATTTTGTGACATAACACTTTAATTATGATATTAAGTCAAGTTTTATATTTAAGTGTTTTTAGATAAACTTTTTAATTAGATGTTTTAATATATATTTAGAAATAGCTTAATTAGTAGAATTTTTATTATATTACTTACAAATTTTAGGTCAAAAAATTAGAAACAAAGAAAGTAAAAAACAGGAAACATCAAAAGCAGGAAATAGAGCAACACGCAGATTAATTGAAAGACTGTACTAACCTATTTCAGTCAGTAGTATTGACCAAAATATGTAACATTTTTCCTATTTTAATTCGGTCAAAGTATTTTACCAAAATATTCATAAATTTGGTCAAATATTTGATCAAAAAAGGGTCAAAATAAAACACATTATCTCGGTCATTAATATTCATTGAAAATTGATTCTAAAAAAAAAAAAAAAAAAACTCGATCTTTACCTTATATTAGTCAATATAATTGACCGAACTAGAATTACAATTATTTTAGTCAATATTAATGACCGAAATAAGGCTTCTTAAAAAAAAAAAAAAAAAAAAAGCTTCTTTTAGCTTCTGTTCTGCAAAGATGAGATTTGGAGTTGTTGAAGGAAACTCTTCTGGTACTACTATAATTTTCATCAGATTTTTTTCAACGGTTTACAGGATCTTATACAGTAACTTTGAAAATTATCTTTAAATTTGATTTGTTTATTATCCTTCACATGACTAATGCCAAGATATTCATATCTTCGAAAAGGTGGCCCCCTAATCCCTACTTCCATCCTTGAGTAAATGATTGTAGACAAAAATGTTCAATAGTTGAAATAACAAAATATGGTTCTGGATTCTGGATCAATCACCTGAGGCAATCATTGGTTTGGTGCTAAATCTATGCAGAAGATCAAAAATGCCGAGTTTTGATGTCCATTGTTGTTTTTCCTTGCAAATCATATCACCATTAGCGTACACGGCAGTTGATGAATGATCAATGATGTGTTGTGTGACTTGTGTCTGCTCCGTAGTGGTCGTTATCTCAGCTGTCTGAGGTTGACACGGGCCGAACTATGGATCACTTTGAGGGAATCATTGATCCTAACTCTATGAAAAAGAGATGCCCAGGTATGATGTCCAATGCCAATACTACCCTTTAAATCCTTTGTATAAAGGACTTGAAATGACAAAAATGGTGCTACAACAATGCTGGGAAAGTTTGATAATTGATTAACTTTTTGTTATAATGGCTTACTTTGTTATTGATAATTAACTGATCAATATTTATAATCAACTATAATGCCCATTACAAATAAAAAAATAACTTAATTTTCTATTATAATTGATTCTAATTGAAAGATAACTAATTAATCACCAAATCTATCAAATGAATGTTATAAACAATTATAATTTACAATTACTAAATAATTGAATATTGAAAATTATAACCAATTATATCTCTTCTATTATATAATCGATTATACGACAATTTTTACTTCAAACATTCCATAGTGTTTTTTTAAGTAACCAAACACAAGATTTTAAGAATGATAGACAAATTTTACAAGCCACCAAACTCAAAAAATTCACTTTTCTAAATATAAATATCTAGTCAAAATATTTCCTAATAAAGTTTTTTTGTTGGGTAAATTTGCATAGGCAACCAACAGACCTTTAAGGTAATTAGTTTACCAGAGCTATTTTAAACCAAAAAGTGCGAACCTTTCATTAAAGCATTACTGCTGATGATGGTGGTCTAGTCTTACATTGACCGATACAAAAACAATAAACAATTTGCCCCCTTTGCATACTTAGGAATATCTAACCTCTTGAAAAACCTTTGGGTATATATAAACACAACAAAGAAAACACAAGATGATGGCAGACTCCTCTTAATTAACTAACTAGTTTTTTTTAAAGAGGAGAAATTCATTCACATATAAATCTTATACACTACACCTATATAAAATCTCAATCACTTATTTCTCTACTTTCAATGATTGAGATTTATCATATTTTCTAAGTGAAAATGATAATTATCTTTAATAAATGTGAATACATCTCAATCACTAAAAATGGAAAAATGAATGGTTAAGATTTTGTATGAGTATAATGGGCTAAATTTAATTTTTCATCTACTAATTATTACTCTTTTTTCATTTTAGTCTAGAAAGTTTAGTTTCTTTCAAATCATATATAAACTTTCAAAATCATCTACTTAAAAAACTGCCATTAGCTTTTTTAACGAAATCCCATAGCATGCTTGTGTGCCACCAATTATGTGGCATATGTAGTTGTAAAAAATTACACTTTTAACTCCAAAAACTTCACAAAATTTTCAATTAAGTTTTATATTCAAATCTATCTACTTTATCAATGAGATTTTTTCTTTTTCTTTTTTTAATTTTTTTAATAAATTTATATGTTTTAATTTTAATTAACAACTAAAAAATTCATCATTGTCATTATTAGGATAAAATTATATCATTTCTTTTTTTTATCTAGTTCAAAAAATTAATTTTATTTGTATTATCTCTTTCTCAAAATAACTTTTTTTTTCCTAATCAAGAATTTGAGGATAATTTATGTTTATTTATATTATTCTTAAAAAGAAATCAAAGATGAAGAGAAAAATTTTGTAATGGGATGATTAATTAAAGTAAATAGATAATAATAAGGTTAAAGTAAAAAATATATATATTTGTTTACTTTGAAAAATAAAAAAATAATAATTAATTTGTGACAGATTTTAAATTATAGAGCGATAATTATTCTGAGACAAATGGAGTAAACTTAGAATATACTCCTTACATCCCAAAATAATAATCATTTTTTATTTAGAATTTATTTTAAAATAATAGTGATTTTTTTTATATTTTAACGGAAATAAATTTTTTATTTTTACTTTAATTTTATGATTATATCTTAATTTTAATAAATTTTCTTATTATAAAAGAGTAATGATAGGGGGACGAAAATTTAAGACTAGAAAATATAACCAAAATATTTTTCTAGTTTGTTCCCATACTTTGGTTATATTTAATGATATAATTTAGGAACAAACTAGAAAATATTTTGGTTATATTTTTCTAGTCTTAAATTTTTGTC